GCCGGCAGGGCCCGGCTTCGTGGGGAGGTGCTGCGGACTGGGAGATGGTGTGATGTGAGCTTCGTGCGGCAGGAGTTGGAGGCCTGTGTGAGCGAAGTACTGGGTCAGAGGCTTCGTGTGCCATTGTAATGCAAGATAAAGAGGGGCGAACTGGAAGCCGTCTTTGGAGTAAAGATTTTAGGAGATGTTTAAACGTTGGGCAATACTTCAGTGTGTGCAAAATGCAAGACAACTAGGGTTCTGTATTTCAGTTAAGTTTGTGTTTTCTTCCAGTTAGTATAGCCCCAAAAGGCCACTTTAGGGACTGTTACAATGGGCAAAATGTGTGTGTATGTAGGAGCTATAAAAACAAAAATAGTGTTTAAGTCTTCAATTTCAATAGGCCTAGCCTATATTGTCTCCTACAAAATGTATCGAAATTAATACACAGTTCTTCTGTGTTTGGGGTTTTTTTTGTCCATTTCTCACAGGTATGGTGACTATCCTATGCTACCTAATAAGTCGGCTCATGAGAGAGACCCCTGGTACCGGTGGGATCAGCAAGACATGAGGCATAACTGGGGAGAGCCGGTAGGAATGCTAATAGCACTTTTTATTATGATTACAATACTCTTGTTGCTAAATGCTAACATGCACATCTTAATAGTGTTTTTTGTTTAATTTTTTGTCTAACTGTTTTCAGGTGTGCCTGTGTTGCCTGTGTGAGCAGGGATAGTCAGTTGGAGGGAAACCTAAGCTACAGCAAGCAGAGTAACATCTTACTACATGTGAGGAGGGAGACACTACAAACCTAAGTTCCTCTGTACGAATAGGAACATTTCATCCATTTTCTTTGCCTGATCTGACTCAGTATGAGAGCTTTGTTCAGAATCATTTAGCAAAGAAGGTATTGTTTGAGTAAAGTTGTAGTAAAATGGTAATAATGCTATTGCTGCTTTATTATTCCAGGGTTGTTTTTGGATAGAATACAAATAAGGAGGTTTTCTCTGAAGAAGGTTTGCAAAATATCCTGAAGAGAAGTGGAGGAGCAGAGCACTTATGTTGACTTTCAAAATCTAGGTTCCTTGAGCTCCTTGTCAGGAGTAACTTTTCAGTTAGTGCATGGTCTTTTTATGATTGACTGCAATCTTAACGGTGTTTAATGAGCTTGGTAATTGTGCTCTCTTTAATGAGAGTAGAGATTATGTAAGTGTCTGTATGTAATATAAATGTGCATGTAGTATAATGTATGTGTATGGAATATGAACATGCAAGAGCATCATAGTATGCGTACCATGGTAAAGTTTAAGCTGCCTGTTGTAACGACTATAGATGCACATGAAGAAACCTGTGGTGTTTTGGTGCTTGGCACAGGAAGGCTTGTGAAGATACCCTTGCACCCGGTGTTGGCAGGAGGGGGCCAGGTGGAACATGCTGGTCCATCCCAGCAGGTGCCCCCATTTAGGCATCTGAATTCTGCTCAGTTGGGCTCTCAGGGTTTGATAGCAAATTGTTGTGTGTGCCTGAGCTGCAAATTAAGGAGCTTCCTGCTTTATTTAATGTGAAAGGAGACTATAGGCAGAACATGCTTAGGACCTCCCTATGGATGCTTCAAGACAGAAGCTTAAATGCCCTTCTGCTTCAGTTAGGAAGGTCATTAGCTTGCTGCCAGTCTTGCTCTTGCCATGGGAGTTACAGTGGCAAGTGCTCTACTGTTTTTGAGGAACCAGCTTCCAAGTGGCAGGTGGTTGTTTCTTTGAAATAACACTGCTACTTCTGTTTGGGTATGTCTTAATTTCCATAAATGAAGGTGCCAATTTATACCATGCCTTTTCAACAGTGCTGGTGAACAAATCTAAGGTGGAGTGATTATGTATTAAATAAAAGCTTCTACTATCCCATAACTAAGCCTATTACCTGTTATAAGCATAGGATAGAATTTGGAGTCCTGAGTTTTACAGACAACTTGCTGTTGCTGCAGGTAAATTGCTGATCTCTACGGCTTTATCTCCACCTAAGAGTTGGAGAAGCTGCCGTTTCTGGCAGTTTTGTGAATGCTATAAAACACTTCTTCCTTTGATAAAAGCAACCCAAGAATTGTTGGTAAATATGCAGCTGTTTTGTTTTGTTCTTTAGATGCACTGGGACTTTGACATGTATATTCGGAACCGTGTGGATACATCTCCGACTGTAGTTCCCTGGCACACCATGCGCAAACATTTCCTTGTTTTTCTGGGTTTCATGCTGACCATGTTTGCTCTTGGAGAGATATATCCTTCTTACAGGCCTGTGGTGAGTGGCACCCTTGGGTAAAGCGAGGGGAGGTAGCTGTCTGTCTTCTCACTGCTTATGCCCGGAGAAGTGATTTTGCTGAAGCTGAGCAGTGAGTGTGAATGCAAAACCCTGCAGCTGGTACGGGATGGGCAAAGGGATGTCCTGTGGCCTTGTCCAGCCCGAGTCATTCTGTTGGCTGGTCTGGCTCAGCTCGCAGGTTCTCTTTCATAGTGAACTGTTCCTGTTCAGAGGGAACTAATTTTAAGCTATGCTGCTTACAGTATCCCTTCATTTGCCTAGGTATTCCTCTTCCCCATGTGCATCTGCTTGAGGGAGATGCTTTATCTCTTCTCTTGCCCTGTGGTTTTAGTTATAGCTCATGATCGGGATTGTTTGGAATGCACTTCTGAAAAATACATCTGAATACACAAACAGCTTTTGCGGTATCCTGTTGTGAGATGAACTGATGGTTAAGATTAAATGTAAGACCACCTTGATGTTTCTGTTGAAAGGACATGCGTTTATACAAAAACCCACTCTATGAATTTACTTTCCTTGTTTCCTGCTGAAGCACTTAGAAGTAGAAATAGTAAATGACAAGCCCTGTTTTGGGCAGGAGTGAGATGGGATAAGATATTTTCCCCTTGCCTCTTAATTTGCTTTGTGAATATAATAATTTTTCCACTCTTTATCTCTCCTTGTAGGGACCGAAGCAATATCCCTTCAATGACCTGTATCTGGAGAGAGGAGGAGACCCCAATAAAGAGCCACCAGTGGTGACGCACTATGAGATCTGAAAGTTGAAGTGCTGTGTTTCTCCTGTGATAGCTCTGCTGAGGATGGCATCTTCTCTAGTGTTCACTGTGGTGTATATTAATGCTTGTTCTTCAACATTCAGCCACTAACTGCAGTGAAATATATTGATGGCACCTACTGTGCTAGTTGTCTTCTGTTGGTTTGAGAAGGCTGAACAATGGCTGGTGAAATTGAGTGACCTTTGATGTTTTCCTGAATGGGCTGGTATCTGTGGGGTAAAGTTCTGAGTGCAGCCTGAGGACAACTGCTAATTTATGTGCCTTGTGCACAAACATTCCTTAGCTCAGTCTGTTTATGCAGGAGATACTGCCCATTACCAGGTGACTCACTGCAGGTGCTGCTTGGAGTTGAACTAGAATGTCATCAGTTTGTGTGAAGTGACAAGGCAGAACCAGACTGGCAAGTGCTGGTGCGTGGGAGTCTCATAGCAAAGTGAATAACTGTCTGTCGTTGCTTGGGTTCGGCTCTGGTCTCTTCCTGGTCTAGATGCTCTCTCAAGTGAAGCTCGCACAAGCGGCAGGGAGCACTAGTGAGGCACAGAACCTTGTGGTGTATAGCTTGATGCTGACAGCAGAGCTGTGGACAGCAGTGGTATGAAAAAGCTAATGAGCAAGTCCAACTCTGGCCAGACCTGTTCAGCTGCACCTGGGCTTTGGTCCAAGAGCACACAGATGCTCACGTTGCTCCTCAGTGGCATGAGCTCACCCACCAGAGTTGGAGTTATGTCTGTCCCACGGAGTCTGCCTGTCTTGCTGCACATTACTGGTCTAGGGCTTCCTATGGCTTCACCAGCAGTTTGCTTGGGAAAGTTATGAGTAAAATATCATTAAGCTCTTAGATTTTTTTTTTTTCCCCAGCTCCACTCTTCCTTTAATGTAAGTTTTGGGGGTTTTTTTTTCACCTTGTTACTGGAGGAGGCATCCCCCTTCAGTATGGATTTACAGTGAAAGTTCTCTCAACTCCCCTGTGATATGTCTTAGACCCCGTGGTTTGCCTGCAGGAGAGGGCGACTGCAGAAGTCTAGTGGTAAGGGCTTGGTCTTTTCTGCATGCTTCTCATAAACTGGATGCTGTGCTCTGCTCTCAACACCCTGTTGTGACTCATAGTTTTATGCTTTAAGGGAACCAGATATTTGAAGACAGTGATTCATTATTTTACATCTGTAAAGAATTTTTTTAACACCAGAGTCTAAAGGGCAGTTAGCTTCATCTCTATGTAGGGGTTCCTGGAAGGGTGTGTGTTAAAGGGAATTACATTACTGAATGCTGGGAGACACAAATATTTGTGTGTAAATAAAACTTCTTCAGAGGTGTTGGATAATCACCATTCCTCCTGGCCTTTGTAATTTGTTGCAGAAGTGCTGACTTGTCAATTGCTGACAATATTTTACCCCAGGAGAGCTTTTCAAGTATTTTCTGAGCTGTGGAGACCTTGAAATGGAATTGTTATGAAGTGTTACGCAGGTGAAAACGCTCCTTAGGGGTACTTGAGTTAAGAATTGCCATTTCACAGCAGTTATGTGACAGCACTGCATACAATATCGTGAGAACTGTAAGAGTCCTCCAGTGAAATGACAGTGTCAGGGTAGCGATGGCTGCCTTATCTTGGTCTATGTGAAATGATAATGTAGTCACACCGAGAGGCAGGATAGGGCCCGTCTGGATTACTGTGCTGTGCACCATGTGGCTGCCCTGCCCCAGCATTGTTTGCTGCCTCCTGATTTGGGTAGTTTCACACCCAGGCTGTATCTAACCAGTAATTTAATGATGTTTTTCTGCATAGGGGAGGCATAATGGGTTGGGTGGGGAATTCGTTAGAGAAATGGGGTTTGTGGCATAGGTGACTTTTCTCAGATGAGAGGTGAGGCAGGAGTCTGGCCCTTGCTGCATTTACTCTGTTCCTGGTGACTATAGTGCTTTTAGGAAAATAAATTCCTAAGCTGTGCTGCTTTCCATTCTGTGTGCCCTCTCTGGAAGGCTTAGACCTGAAGCTGAGGCAAAGTTCTTCCGAGGCAGCA